AAATCTACATAAAAAAATGTTTGGTCTTCTCCAAAAATGATCATCTTAAGATTGAAACATTTTTAGATGTTGATTGGGCTTGATCTCGAATGATAGAAAATTCACTATTGGTTACTGCACACTCGTAGGAGAAAACTTGGTTACATAGAAAAGTAAAAAAGCAAAATATAGTTGTCCACTCTAGTACTAAAACATAATATAGAGCAATGGTTTAAGGAGTGTGTGAATTATTATAGTTACATAAGCTAATGAGAGAATTAAAATTTTTTAAATAAGAGAGTCTATCTTTGTTTTATGACAATAAATCAGTCATTAGCATTGTTCATGATTCAGTTCAACATGATCAGACAAAGCACATTAAGATTGATCGACGTTTCACGAAAGAGAAAGTGGTTGATGGCTTCTTATGGTTATATCATATGTTTTTTAGCGATCAAGTGACAAGTATCTCCACTAAAGGACCTTGCAACAAATCTCTTCATAACTTGGTCTGTAAATTTGGTATGTATGATATATTTATACTAATTTGATAGAAAGTGTTGACTAAAATACTTTATTATTTAATTAGTTAAAATGATGTAATTAAAATTCTACTAGAATAGTAATTTTCATATCTGTAGGTTAAGAATTCTATATATACCACAAGCGTAACAACATAAAGTATATCAAAAAATAAAGTTAATATTTTCTTTAAAATCTCCACTAATAAATATTATGGCATTTTGTGTACTTTATATTCGGATAATATAAGATCTACGTGGAAAAGAAGTTTCAAATTATATTCGTGGAACAAAAATTATAAATGGACAAAACGATTTTGCTTAAATATCTAGGTAGCCATGTATAGTACTTGTCATAATGAGTCTTGAAACAAGTTTATAGGGACATACAAGTTATAAGTTCCAATTCACCATTCATATAACATGTTTGGTGGACCTCTCGAAAGGTTTTAAATATTTAAGGCATTATTTAGAACATGAGAGGAATTCTATATAAACAAGTCATGGAGAATAACCTACAAAGTATAGTTTAAGAGGCAACACATTTTACTATCAAAGAGGAATATAATTGGAAACTCCTAGACAATGGACATTAGAGTCTTATCCCCATTTATTACCACTCAAATCAAACTTCTATCAAGCAGTATATACTTGCTAGCAATAGATAAAGATGATGAAATTGTTCAAATCCTTCACCTCCTCAAGCTCCAATATGAAGGGCTTTTATTAGATCTATTCTTCAGTTATTTAGAAAATAATCAAATTGACAAGTATTTATAATCAAACTATTTAAATATGCTTTTTTTTTAGTATTGCTTAAAATGATAGTAGTCATGTTAATAATTTTAGAAGGAATCTATTATATTACCCTATGTAGATTGACAAATGCACGAAAGATGGTTAGAGATGATCTTTTAGACCACACCCATCTAATATGACTCATCTAGACCTAATTAAATGCAGTTTTGTAATATTCTAGAGGGGTCGAGTTTAAGCTAACAGGAAAACATGGAAGGAATGGGGCAAGTTCAGGTTTGACTTTACAAAATTTACTTGAATACGACATAGAATAAATATTTTAAAATATATAAGTATAAATATATATATATAATTATTATATAAATATATATACATCTATATGTATGAGATAAATATGTACATAAGTATATGTTTATGTATTTTTATTTATATAATATAATGATCAAGTTGAATACGGAATAGATAATCCACAAATAAGACATATTTAAAAAATTAAAAAAAAATTTGAACCCATGCCAGGTTTAGGTTGGTAGTTTATAAGGAGTGGTTGGATTATAATAAAACTCAATCTAAACATATCTTATAATCAATCCTTAGAGATGGTGGAAAAACTTAGAATATGGTCTCAATATTTTAATGTCATTAGAGCTATTGTAATTTTTCACTAATAATATTTTTGGGACGACACATCTTTTTTTTCCTAAGCCTTTTAATGAAGAGCTTGAGGCGGTTGAAGAAGAGAAAAACAACCAAGAAGATGATGGTGGGAGTGATTGGAGTGAGGACGAGAAAGAGAATGAGAAATGGGGGAAGGATGGTAATAAGGAGATGAGAGGAGGACAAAGACAATAACAACAATGTGGCCACGGATAATGATAAATCAAAACCATGGAGGAAAAATTCAGGCTAATGGTTTATTTGATCGCTTCACTAGTTGCCAACAAGACCATTATCTTTTGTTCTATTAAAATTGTATCAATTTTTTAAGTTTAAACATTTGGTTTGTCTAATAAATTTTTTTTTGTAAAATATTTTTAATTACTTGAGAAATTATATGACTATTTTACAAACAAGATTGAGACAGAATATATCATTGGATTCATAAAGTCAATCAGGTACATAATGAATTCAAACCGCATGATAATTATTTTAACTTATTTCTTCAATTGTACTTAATTAATTACTTCTCGTTTAGACCATAATTATTACACAGAATATATTGTATTAAATTTATGATTGCATACATATAAAACCGTAATATTTACACAAAATGATATTTTGTGTTACATATGGTAACAAATTAGTAGATTTTTAAGTATTAATTTATAATATCAATTATTATGAGTAAAAAATAATAGTGATATATATAATATCAATAATGATACGTTATACAAATTTGGCAACATTTCATGTCATAAGAGAGGTTACCAGCGTTATCAACTTATGGTCAACCAAGTTATCCTTTGTTGGAAAAATAACTATATATACCACCGAATACTCTACTCTATAAATTTTTGAACTCTGCTAACCACAATCACCAGATAATGAAAGTTTCATATCCAACAGTTTAGGTAAGAATTATATTTAAAATGACAAATTTCAAATCCCATAAATGTCATGGAAGTTAATATTTTCAAATACATCATCTCAAACCCATTTGATCATTTCATCTTATCTTTTTATCTTCTAATAAAGTTTATATCTCTTTTAATAAAATTTAAGCGTACTTTTCAAAAAAAAATTATAAATTCTGAATTTATTAAGCATTGCGCTACCATCAGATCTACCTAAGCCACTGGCTACTCGCAGATGAAACAAGTTATAATTAACAGAAAAGAAACTCAAAAAGAGACAAACCAAATTAATCGTCTTGTCTAACTAGGCCAGCAGCCTAGCAGTCTGCCTCTTGACATTACTTTTGCCATAATGCCGAGTCAGAATGAAATGATCTAAAATTGATTAGCAGCTTCTTTCCTTCAAATGAAATGTGCCTAAAATAATAATTCAGGGAGAACTATAAAGGTTAGAGAAAAAAGCTACAAAATCTTTGGGGTGTCATTTGTGTTCCTGTGAATGATGGACCAGCAATGCCTGTTCTATCCTTATAGTTCGATTACAAATTACTGACCTGAAACATCAACCTACAAAAATTAGATTGTTCTAGTGCCACGGGTTCTTTTTCACTACACTTCTTTTTGAACTAGCTGCTGAACTCGCTTTCTGCCAAAAAACCAGGAACCACAAAAGTTGCACGTCTCAGTGGTAAAGGAAGCAAATAACTAAATATATAAGGAAATATGTAATTAATATCCATGTATTAGCATACTGATTTTGACTTCTTTGCCCTCCCACGTATCCTGTTTTTCTGAGGCTTTAGCTTATATATCCGTACCATCCAATGGTGAGTTGTGAAAACCTAGATTCATATGCAACCAGAAAAAACAAATCAGAATAAGCATAGTCATTAACATACTAAAAGGGAAAATTATTCATCCAACAATCTTTCCCTCAAAGTAAACATGAGGACAGATGCTAATATGTAAAGAAAAGGGCAAAACTACACTTCTCCCCTTGAAATTTCATGTATTATGCAAAAAAGCCATCTTTCAAAATTGAATATAAAACATTCTATCTTAGAACATGTTACATATTTTCTCTCCCATCAAGGATACTGTTAACAATTCTATCTTTTTAATATTGCCACATCACCAAATCAGTTTGAATCTTAAAATACTGTCCTTTTCCTCAGAACCTCGAAAACACCCTTCTCTTTTTGTTAGAGATTTAGATGATGGGTGATATAATGAGACAGATTGATAGATCAAAAGAAAAACACATGCGGCTTGCAGCAC